CGCAAGTCATTCCTTCCAATTATCCTCCCTCGTCCCTGCGACGACCAATTCTACGTTTCTCCCATTGTCCGCGCAAAGTCCCCTTATAAGTGTAGCGCGCGCCTCGCGGTAAGCAGAAAGTGCGCCGGGAACTCGTTATTCCAACGAGTCCCAGGCAGTTCCTGGAGACGGGACACGAGAAACGGGCGAGTCCGCGTGGACAAATAGACGACTGGTCGCGCCTGACTCCTGGTGCAATAAGCCTGTCAGGCCCACTCCCCCTCCACCCTCCGCTCTTCTCCATACGATCGCCCAGCTAGCAGCCGCGGGGATGCCTGAGCGGATGTCGATGCTGCTGCTGCTGTGCTCGCGAGCGCGCAACTACGTCGCACACACAACGCACGCTTCTGCGGCCAACAAAGGCCGACACTCGTGGTAACGGCGCGCTCTCGGAATTTTCGATCTCCTGTGCGACGGTACGGGCGACGTGCCGTCCTGCTCTGGTCGCTATAACGGCCCGCGCGAATCGAGTCGAGTCGAGTCGAGTCGAGTCGAGTCGAGTCGAGTGGAGTCGAGTCGAGTGGAGTCGAGTCGAGTTGAGTCGGGTCGAGCCGAGCTGAGCCGAGCAAAGCCGAGCAAAGCCGAGCAAAGCCGAGCCTTGTAGCTCGTTGTTAGGGACGCGCTTTGAATAAGGTAAGATACACCTTGTAGACGCGGCCTAAGCTCTGCCTGCCAGCCAGCAGTAGCAGCAGCAACAGAAAACTTCCCCAACTCCACCTTGGACCTTTTAAATCCCCTCCCACCCCCCTCACTATCTCTCTCTCTCTCTCTCTCTCTCTCTCTCTCTCTCTCTCTGTTCCCTCCCTAACTCCCACACTATGTTACATATACCGCTAACCTACAACTACCGACTGCCTCGTATATTTTCATTTCTTATCTCGCATAATAAGTAAATAGGCAAATGTTTTTCTCGGTCACTTCACTTACCTTCCTTAATTTAAAATACACATCGCATTATATATTATAATCAACTTCGCCCCTTACGTAAGCTGCGCAATTAAAATACCAATAAGATCTTGATGTGAGATTATCAATGGCAATTAAGATTACCAGTGTATATATTAGTCTATCCTTCGACTATCTTCTTTCTAATCACCCCCACTGGCTATCTCCAAGTTAAATCAATTTTTCCTTAGATTATTCTAATCTCGTCAATACGAGATTCACGTAAATACGAGTCTAATCAAAATTAATAAATCTTTGTTGTTTGTAAGTTGCTAATATATCATTCGAGAGATAGAGAGAGAGGGAGGGGGGGGAGAGAAAAGGGAGAAATCTATTGACCATCGAGTCTAAAAACTAGGAATTATAAAATATAGGCAAAGCATACGTATAGTAGCTATACATTTGCAAGAATTGACTCGCGCCACGACAACGATGGCGCACGCAACCTTGTGCCAGCCACTCGGAGGCTCTCGGCTCCCTCTCATACCCACTTAGTCCAGTACGTCGCCGAGAATACAAAAAAATCCACTGGCAGCTTCCTCGTCCTTCTATGGGATGCGCGCGAGCACAATCCCGGGCAAGTTCGAGCAGCAACGACCGACGCGGATGCGTAACATCGTGAGGAGGAAGGTCGTGAAGATTAGAGTGCGTAAGGAATATCGAGTGCCTCGGTGTTACGGATTTACCTGACTCGTAATGAATTCGTATAAACATTTGTCCCTGACGCGCCGTGCCCTCCTGATATTTTCTTTACTGTAATTGCGAATTGGCCAGATAATAATATTTAAGATTGTATAATCTACGAATATGACGTTTTATGTCTGAAGATAAACATCGACAGTACGAAAATAATGCAAATTGAAGTATCGTCGTTCTTTCAACAGTAAATAAAATAAAATAAAACAAAAAAAATTGTTTTTCTTTATTGTTCGGGATAGAAGCGACTGAAGTTTTTTAAATATAGGATTTTAATTTCTGACTCGAAAGCCACATTCTAAAAGTGATTTGCAATTAATAAGTATCGATGGATCATTGACCCGAAATAAGCAAGCAGCTTTGAAATTTAATTTCTTATAAATTCAATGAGAGTTAGTACTTTTTAAGATACCTTACTCCCTAGTAGTATTCTCGTAATATTTCTTCAATATTCAATAAAATTTTGCAGTTTTTCTTAATTGCGTGTTATACTTATTGAAGAAAAAAAAAATAGATAGTTGGTATTTTGGTGTGCAGCAAAAAAAAATTACAAATTCATACAAATTGAACGACTTTAACAAAGAAATGCATGTTTTCAAAAGTTCGATAAAAAAGCAAAACATTGTCATCGTAGAGGAATAATATATTTAATAAGCACTTAAAAGATAAAAGTAGAAAAAATAAGTGATGAAACGTTGTGGAAGAGACGATTAGTAAGTTGCACAAATTGTAAATTATTATAAAAATAAAAGAGCAGCGGAAGATTGAGGAAGATGGAGTGAAATAAAAATTATATAGTATAGACGTATTGTGGTAGAGTGGAAAAAGCAGAGAGAGATGTGTGTGTGTGTGAGAGAGAGAGAGAGAGAGAGAGAGAGAAACGATATTATAAACCAAGAACAATACAGACAGAAAATACGCAATCAGGATGTTCACGATCGTATATCAGCTGAAGAGAGAAAGTGAAAGGAGTAGGACTAACTAAAGAATTTGTAAGACGGTATGAAAGAAAGAATGAGAGATGTATTAAGAATGAAAGTAATGTACATATTTTTTTGTTGTTTGCTGTAGTAAATTATATATTCTTACATATCTTAACTTTATTATTTTTTTTTTCTTTTGGTATCTTTATAATGTCGTCCAATTTTTAGTTCTGCAGTGTTCGTCAAAGCACAGCAACATTTGAACGCTAAAATATAAAATTACAATTTTTTCGATTTAAAAGATTTTTTAAATTTCAATATTCGATTACTCTTTATATTTCTTGAAGGTCTTATGTTTTTGTATGTGTTTCTTGAGTTTAGTAATACTGATAAACACTATTTTTTAAATTCATTTCGATAAGCATATGATTTTAGGTTAAAGTAATATTAAGTAAATATCCCACTTTCTCATAATTAACTAATTTCATGCAATTAATAAATATTCGATAGCCATGTTTTATATTTGAATAATAATTTTGAAATACATAGACGTACATAACATTATGCGTTTATACTGGTTATATAATAAAATATATTTCAATATAGAAAATTAACTAGCATTTGACATTGAAAATAGAAAATTTTATAATTCGAGATTCACCAATATTGGTTTATGTGATAATCGTGATAATCTTAAAGTACTGAACTTTAAGGAATTAAATACATAACCTATAAAATTAACCTACATTTTTTAATTACGATAAACCTACGATTTAATTGTAAATGTAAATATATAGAATTTGAAATATATAAAATTGTATAATTGCCCATTTTATTAATATTATTAATTTTTCACTCAATCTTATTCGTGTTTACGGGAACAAAAATAATAATGGCTATACAGATAGGTACTTTAAAAGCGTGAGACTCGGGCAGAAAAATAAGAGACGAAGAGAAATATATATATGGACAAACAGAAGAAGAAAGCAACATATTTATTTCGCTCTTTATTCATACGGCAATAGCACATCAACTTATGCATATTATAGGGGCTTTAATTTTCCTCACTCATTCTCTATTTCTTTCTCTTTGTCTGTATGTCTTTCTTTGGCTTTGAGCTTCTATCCTCTCGCCCCCTCTCGCTCTTTCTCTCACTCTCTCTCTCTCTCTCTCTCTCTCCCATTTCTCTCTTTCATTTTCTCGTTCATCTGCTTTGTTTATTAGTGTCATAACTTTCACATGCACCCACACCTATACATCCAAACAAATATATATATATATATATATATATATATATATTTGATTCGAGGCTGTCAAGGTTTACGATCGTGAGAACATTTTTTCTCCTTTATCTTTTTTCAAGAGATTTCATTCCAATCTATCGCATGTTGCACTTGCCGGACATCACTTTGTCTATTTATTTCTTATTTAATTTACTTACTTCTTTTCTCTCATTACTTCTTAGAACGAACCAATCTAAATTAAACATTCTTTATAAATGAACCTTTATTAAAATGAGTTCTTTAAACATTCGTTCCGATTCCAATTATTAGAACATGAAAAAAACTAAAGTGTGCATTAATGTTATTAGTTACGCTTTAAATGATTATTAATTATAATTTTATTCTAATTGTTTCTGTTAAATGATGTTAGATAAAAAATTCATTAATAAAGGCGTATATTTAATACAATTTAAATTTAAACTTTATTTTGTTTTCTAAAATATTGAGCATTGATTCAACTTTCATGATAAATATCATGTAAATATGAATTAAATATCTCTGAATTTCTAAAGACAACAAATTGATAAAATTTATGAATTCTTTTTCACTCGTGTAGCATCAGATAAATGAAATAATATTTTAGGAATTATATAAAAAATTTATATCACTTAAGTTTATAGTTTAAATTATTAATACAAAAATAATCTGTTACAGGTGCTGCTATCCGTCTTAGGATACCAATAGAGGAATCCAATCTCCAATAATTAATGACATTCAAGCCTCTGTACAATCCGCTGTATTTTTTTTAAGCGAAGATAGCAATTAATAAGCAATATATGGATAATTTCCAAATGTTTTCAAGTGTATTTGGAAAATTTTAAATAGTGATTATCTGTGAATGAAGTGATAAAGCAATGTGCCAAAAAATTCTTGAGAAATAGTGAAACTAATGAAGTGTAGTTGGAATTCTTAAAATAAGAAGCAGTTTGTTTTATTTGACCGACAGTCATCAAGATGGGAAACTGCTTTGGATGTGAATGTGACGATGAAAATGAGAAGCCAGACAGAATATGCAATCCCAGCATAGAGGCAGTGGCTTCTCAGGTGAGTCCAGTGCCGACACCACCACCAGATCCTATTAGACCAATGCCACAAATACCTGACACAGATGTGCCAACAGCCAAGATCTTTATTGCTTTGTATGAATACGACGCCAGAACGGACGAGGACCTCAGTTTTAGGAAGGGTGAGCACCTGGAAATACTTAACGATACCCAGGGTGATTGGTGGCTAGCTAGGAGTAAAAGGACAAGACAAGAAGGTTATATTCCAAGCAACTACGTCGCCAAATTGAAATCCATCGAGGCTGAGCCGTATGTACTAAGTTTACAATGCACATTAATTTTATATTATTAAATATTATTCAATTTAATATTTCTCTCTACATAATATGTATTTATAAGTACTATATTTTATTTGAAATCATGAAAATTAATTCATGAAATTTATGAAGTGCGAAAAAGTTTGTGTAATTTTGTATCATTTGAACTACTATTATATAATCACAAAATAGTATTGTTTTATAAATTAAAGTTTACTTGTCCAAGTTAATTACCTACCTGGTTTCTAAATAAATATTTTTCTTAACAAACTTTTGGTCAGTTGAAAATGTAATAATCAATAGAAAATTGGTTGAAAATAATCGGAAAGGTTGATTCTTATTATGATTTTTATTTTATATACCTTTTTGTAGTAAATAAGTATATATATATATATATATATATATATATCTTGAACAAAAATATTTATTATCTATTTGAACAACTATTAATGTATTTGAAGATTTTAAATAAATAATTCATTTTTTATTTAATTTTATACAATAGATGAAATTTTATTATATAATTATCTTTTTTGTATATATATACATTTATCACTTTTTACACCATTTTTTTTATTGAAAAATAATTGTTTTATATATTTGTATCATATTAAAAAATATAATTATTTTCTTTATGTCAACATTTTCAGTGTTTGTTGGTAAAGTTAAAAATACATTTGCTATTCGCTTTTGTTTATTGCTTACAATACTATATCTATCATTTTGGATTTAGTAATAATTGACTTGTAAAAATCAATAAATAGTAGATGCAAAGTTATATGGTTAAAATTATATTTAAATATAATTGATCTATAAAAATTATTCAATACTTACTAAAATTAAGGATAAAAATTATAGTTTTATGTTTATTTAATTTGTGTAATAATAAAAGAGCATTGTCGTATGTAAATTACTTAATGGCAAATGAATCAATATTTTATATATTTATATGTAGCCCAAGCAATTACAATTGCCGAAAAGTAGGTAAATTTACAAATAACATGTAAAATTAATTTTCTACAATTTTAAAAAAACATAAATAGAAAATTATGTTGATTTATTATAAATAATAATAGTGTACAATTAATTAATACATTTGTTCTATTGATTGAAAAGTTCTATTGATATGCCAATGGAAAAGTTTAAATTACCTTATCATTCCATTGCAATATTTTTTATATACAATAATTGTAAATTGAGATATTAAATATTATCGATTAGCTTTTCTTCATGGAATAATGTCACGTCAACTAGAATCATACGTATTATTAAAAATAATTACATTATAACATATTTGGCAATTAAAAAGATCCAATGAAACTGAAACTATGATTTTACAACTTTTCCGCTTAATTTATTACATAGAGATGGAGCACAATGTTTGTTAGAGAATTGAAATCAGATAAAAAAGTCACAAGGCTGTTGTGATTCCAATCGACGTTAGGTACTTTTAAATTCGCATTATTTCTTTGCTATTTGTAATGGACGTTGTACGACAGTTTTACAGTTAAGTGAAGAGCCTTTGGGTCAGCACGTTGTTTGGAAATAAACGAATTTCAACGGCGTTTGTGGGGTGACATTGACAATATCGACAAATGCACCGTTAAAGATTTAATTAATAACATCAAATTGAAAACCTTAATTTAAAAAGACCTATTCCTTCAATAAAATATAATTTATTACTGTATTAATAATAATTAACTTCATTTGGCTATTAAAAAAAATCTGAATAAAATTTACAATTTAAATTGTAAAATGAAACAAAATTAATAATAATAATAATAATAATAGTAGTACTGCAACATCGTTATATTACTAAAAATTAATTCTTACAGAATAATGGGAAACAAAAATTTTTTTTTTTAACGTCTATTTTTAATTTTAATGCCTTATTTAGTATATTCTATAGATTCTAATCTACAGATCTTTATTTATTTCAGTTAATAAATATAAATGATTTCAATTGATTGACAAAAGTTGAAATTTAAAATATTAAAAATATAATGAAAAAAAATTTAGAATAAATTACGATTATTATTTTTATTATTGTTGTGCAATTAAATTTTTTAAAATATACAATACATAGCATCGATAGGCTTTTATTATGTATATAACTACTTTTATATTGCAAGATATATGAATAATTGATTGAGTTTCTCAGAATAAAGTAATTAATTGATTAATATTTAATTGTTAATCCCATTTACCTTAACTACATATTAAAAATGAGTTATAATAAAAATATAATATCGAATGAGAATATTAAAAAAAAATAAATAATGAGATATTATTATATAGTATTAAATAAAAAAAAAAAGAAAAGAAGAGTTTTATTTATTCTGAACTTATTACAATCATAGATATAAAGTCTATTTTTAGCATTTAGAAGTAGACGTAATAATTTGTTTACGTAGCTAATTTAAATATTTATCAAATGTTTATAACTGTTTTTTTTTTGCACTGAAAAATAAAAAAGTATATTGAATATTATAAAAATTTTGTATATTATTTCACTATTAAAATTAATTTTAATAATAAGATTAAGATTTTGATGAAACATTTAATTTGGAATAATGTTGACTAAATTGTTAGATTAACCAAGGACAGCATAAATAACACAGAGCGAAAAAGCCAATAGTCTTTGTAATTTACGTTATGTTTGATTAAATTGATTTTTCTTAGAATGAATTTTTCTTTCACTTGGCACAAGGCGGCCGGGAGGGGGGGGGGGAGTTAGTGATGTAGCTAATGTCCAGCCAATGTGACCTTGCTTTCACCAATGTTCATTGTACGCCATTGACTAATCCGCTCATGTGGCTTTTTCTTTACACAGTATTATTTTACCGTTATTTATTTTGTATTTTTTTATATTGTTATTGTAAATTGTTAGTTTTCTAAATCCATAACTGTTTGAACAATCGTGTACATATTTACATCACGAGCGAATATTTTTAATTTTTAATTTCGTTCATTAAATTAATAATAAGATTACTGTATATATAAAATTTGCAGACAAGCCGGTTAAAGTCGAATTAGCTAGTTAGTAATCGGCAATAAATATCTTGATAAAAAGTTATTAGACATTTTATACAATAATTCGATTATTAATTGCAATAACATTTACAATTTAAAAATTTTAAACCGTTTACATTATCATTGATTTTAGTTGAAAATATAAAAAATAAATATTTTAGTCGCTGTAAAAAGTATTATTTTTGTTATATAGCTGTATTAAAGCGTCTTATAACAATAAACTCTTTGTACTCAATTAAAAACATTAAAATCTTCAATGTACATTGTATACTTTTAAATGATAATAATGATGACAATAAAGAATTAATTTTAGAAATTTTCATTATGTATTAAAATTGCATAAATGATCCATTCTGTACTACCATGTATACAAAATTTTCATGACTTCATTTTAATTGTAGATGGTACTTCAAAAAAATAAAGCGAATCGAAGCTGAGAAGAAGCTTTTGCTTCCAGATAATGATCATGGGGCCTTCTTGATTCGAGATTCAGAAAGCAGACAGAATGATTATTCACTTTCTGGTAAGTTATTTTGTTAATTTATTGTAAAAATTGATTATAATGTTCTATTCTATCAATTCGATATTCGACGCGTAAAATATTTACCGAGATTATTATTTATTAAAAATTAGATTGAATGAAGCTTTGATCGTGATATTTTTAGATACGTTAGATAAAATGAAATGATTATAAATAGTTAACATTTTAATGTAAAAAAACGTATAAGGTATTAATTAAAAATATTAATCATTATTTTCTACAGAATAGAAAAAACAAGTATTTTTTCAATATAGACCTTAATTGAATTAATAATTAATGAAACGTAATTTTATTAACTTGAAATTTCTATTTAGAATGAACTTGTTATAAAGATGTAATGGTACAATTAGCTTAAATTATTATATTTAGCAATTTGCAATTGTAGTATTCATCTCCAAAAATATGTTGGTCTTGTTATGGCACTTAAAGCGATAACAAGCATCAATAGGAAGTTTTTATATTGTAATTTTTTGTTTAGCCATGAGAATTTATCATTGTAAATAAATTTAAATTTATAATAGTCAGACTATCTTAAAGCTTACAAAGAATGAGAATTTTATAAATTCTTTTGAAGAAAATTAATATTTAATCAATGTACTTCACTAGAATTTTGTCGACGAGTATAATTTAATTGTATTACTTGCTGTCGTTAGGATTAAACAAAAACTTTATTCCTATATATATTTATAATTATCTTCATCTCGTATACATGTATTATAAAAATACGTAAATGACATTTAAAAATTGTTTATTATTTAATAATAACCAGATGAAAAGTATCTTTTGCGCAAACAATTATGTATAAAATTGAAAATGCCTATATTTATATGCTATATGAATTAAACATTATTGATTGCCATACGAATGAAACTTTGATGCTTCGTAAAAATAACAAAATAATGTAAAGTTTTCAGATAATAAGAAACGCTTCATCGCTTATACAAATCGACTAAAAAAATTAAAAAAAAAAAAAAAAAAAAAACCCGGAAAAAGTAAATAAATTTATTTTATATTTTAATTTTTTATATAAAATATTCTATTCAATATTATGAATTACATTTTAAAACAATGTTTTTGTATATCTCGTCCAATTGTATATTCACATCGATAATAAATGTTTAAATACAAATATATGATATCGCAAGACTTTTATTCGTTAAAAATATAATTTGCATTAAGTGTATATATATATATATTAATAAATAATTTATACATTTAACATTATTATTCATTGGTGTCACTAGATTTGAAAGTTATTGCTTTTAATATGCATAGTATCTAAATTTTATAATTGCTGTTTCAGATTCATATATATATATATATATATATATATATATATATATACTATATTTTATAATTGCTGTTTCAGATATATATATATATATATATATATATATATATATATATATATATATATATAAGTATATATTATTTAAGTATATAAATGCAAAGAAATTGTGTACTTTTTGATAACCATAATTAACAATAATTGCTTCAAATTTGCTTTAGTTCGTGATGGTGACACGGTAAAACACTACAGAATCCGACAGCTAGACGAGGGTGGCTTTTTTATTGCAAGGCGAACGACTTTTAGGAATCTCCAGGATCTCGTTGAGTACTATAGTAAACAAGCCGATGGTCTGTGCGTTAACTTGTGCAAGCCTTGTGTGCAGGTAAAGTATTTGAAATTATATTGTTGTTTATTACTATTTAGGAAAATTAATTTCATTTATCCTCTCTGGCTCAATAGTATGAAAATGAAATTGTTATGAAGGTTATTATTGCAACACGATAAGAAAAGAATAATTATTAATAATCGTGTTATTTTATCCTAAGTAATAAAGTATTTTATTAATAATTATTATTGTTGCTAGAAATAAAAAATCAAAGAATTTTAAATATAATTATGATTATAACATTAACTGAAATGCAATAAAATTAATATATTTCTTATAGCTTAATTATAATATATTTCAGTAATTTTTTAAATTCCAGCAAGGCATTGTTTAATTATATTTAAGTAGACATTAGTTTAATTTTTAAATGTTGTTTTTCTTAAGTCCAACGGCAAGGTTAACAGGATAGTATTTCATCGGCTGGATTTTTGAGAAAATCTTCAATACTTAACGAACTTTGGATTGAAAGTTTTTTTTATCTATTTTTTTTTTTTTTTTTTTTTTTTTTATAGTTTATAAATGTAAGACTACTTGTTTTAACAGATTTGTTTCTCTGTTTTTGCCTCCCCTACCTTTCGCTGGATTTTATTGGTAAATTGAATATCCCATTATAATATTCTATTTCTTTTCATTGAAAACATCTGTAATGTCATACAATTGTGTCTAAAATCATACAAATGTATCTAGCACAAGCGATTTTTTTTACAAAATCTCAATAATATTTGATATACTTTTATTTTCATCATTTACAACGAATCGTAAGACTTCGTTTTTAATTGTCATTGCATTAACGATACTAGATTCATAACTTATATCGTGACAAAATACATCAAGCATTGAATGTCATCACTTACCACCTTTAATAAGAAAAAAAAGAAAAAAAAAACTTATACTTTTGTGTAAATAATGCGTATTTAACGTTAACTTCATGGTTAGAAATAACAATTTTGTCTAATTTTGGATTTAAATTTCATACTGCTAATCTGCCAGCTGACCAATATTACAATTTTAATTAATAAATATTTAAAGCTACATTTGTACATTTTATTAAGTATTATGGATTTTTATCATAATATTATTATAGATATTTAATGAATACAATATTAATTTAATCCAATATTCAATTTGAAAGTTTTATATAAGCATATTTTTGCCAATTTTGTATGTTATCGACAAAGTTTCTCTATGATCTTTTTATGTATTTGAAATGTTTTTTTTTTTTTTTTTTTTTTTTTTTTTTTTTAATATTGATTATTTTTTAAAGTTAATTTATTATAAGTAAATATATATAAGTAAGTTAAAATAATGTATCAAAGATTTTTTGCTGTTATTTATTTTTATTATATTTTCATATTACAAATATTTTTTACAATTTGTTTATAATGGCGATGTTTATATTGTACGAATAAAATTGTTTGCCAAAATTATCGACTTTTTTTTATTACACTTAATAATTTAATTTTATTTAATTCTTTAATAATTTGAACGAATAATTTAAACGAAGCAAATTAAGAAGTTGTGAAATTATTCTAATCGTTATAACTTTATTATTAAGTAAATTATACAATAAATTTATCAACTAGATTTTATTTCTGTCTAAATTTAAATTGATAAAACTAATAATTAAGTTGTATCATAATATTTTTATATGAAATCACCTATTGGGTTACGTTACTTTTTACGGACTCAAGTTTTTTGTTTCCGGGTTCGTAGAATTCTTGGTGCTTAAATAATTTCATTCTTTTAATGAAGCGTTCAACCTTTTGTGATTGATTATCCTTTACTTTTGATAAGAGCAAGCGATTAGCAATTAACGTTTCTTTAACCTACAACTAAAAAAGTAGAATCCTTACAAAGTATAATGTATAATGTCGGTATAATGTAGGTCACGAGGCTAAAGTCATAGAAAGGCTTCGGCATAGTTCAAGTACTATTTGAGTAAATTTAGCTCGAAGTAAGTGCATATTATTTATTATGTAAACTCAACATTTTTTGCAAAGTACATTGACTTGCTCGGTGATCACAAATAATTTATTTATCGAATATTCGATGCTATGTAGCGAATCATCCAATCTGTAAAGTATTTAAATTTTATTTAAATTTATTTTTGAATAATAATAATAATAGCAATGCGTTAATAAAAAATTGCAATAATTCAATGAAAATTTACATAAAATTTTTCTAATCTTTATACTATGTGTCTGGTTGCAATTGAATAATTTATCATATCACCGAGCTCAATCGAGTAGTTTTATTCTGGTGAAATAATTAACTGAATCTTATATGAATTAAAAGCACAGCAAGTATGAAATGAATGCAAAAGTAATAAGCTTTAGAATTAAAAGTAGTTTGTTTAAGTATTAATACATTAGTAAAGAATTTCATTAAAAACCCTTGTCACATCCTACATATACTTACAACATTTTCAAAATCGTGTTCTTAGTATCATTGCGAAAAACTGAGCACCGCATATATGTAAATAGTTTATACGTGTGTGTAATTATGTACGGTATACGCATAAATACTTTCACCCACGTTCATAAACTCACAATTGAAAAGGCTCACAGATTCTCTCATTTGCTCGTACATGATTTGTCTATTCACGCATAAATTATCATGCAGCACTTGAACGAATAAATGAAGCAAACAAAAACAAAAAAAAAAAACGCACCGAGAGTTATTATAGTTTCTATTGTTTTATTATATGTAATGGAGATTTTGAATTGTAATGCATTTTACAGTTTAAACTATACGAAGCTTTCTTAATAATTACTTACTTGATATAGAAATATCTAATCGTTAAATTTTCGCGCATAATTTGTTAAAAATATTCCATCGTTTATAAAAATTTCTCAAAATAGCCATAAATATTAGTCGTCTTTTCTTTAAATATCTTTGTATTGAACTTTTGTTTTACACATTGAATGGATTTGCCTTTTTCATTCCTGTATACTCGGCTTTTTTTTCCTCTTCGGTAATCCAATTCGGTAGTCCAATAAAGTTAAGCAAAGTTTCGTAAAGCGATAAGTGAACTTTGATTGCTCGCAATACCAATGAAAAAAACAAACAAACAAACAAAATATTCTCTCGGTGCGCTCGGTGTTACGGTGCCAAATATCAGGAACTAAATTGGCGGGCGCCTCGGTGCCGTTTGTCTGTCGCAGGTGGAGAAACCCGTGACCGAGGGACTGAGCCACCGCACCCGAGACCAATGGGAGATCGACAGGTCTTCCCTGAAGTTCGTGCGCAAGCTCGGTCAGGGCCAATTTGGCGAGGTCTGGGAGGGTCTCTGGAATAACACGACTCTCGTCGCGATCAAGACTCTCAAACCTGGCACGATGGACCCCAAGGACTTCCTCGCCGAAGCCCAAATCATGAAGAAGCTTCGACACGCGAAGCTCATTCAGCTCTATGCCGTTTGCACGATGGAGGAGCCGATCTACATTATTACGGAGCTCATGAGGAATGGAAGTCTGCTCGAATTTCTTCAAGGTATTGCCTCTGCGCCGAACATCCACTCCTTTCCTCCCTTTCTCCCTCTAAAGTTTATTCTCAACTGCATAAAGCAATAATCATTCAGCACGGCCGTAATACTTGGACCTTTCGCTCGAGCCAGATTGGCGGCTTACGTGTACAACCGAATCTTCTCGATCGTCGAATTGGTCGTGCTAGATCGCATCCATTTGAAAAGAATTTTTATTACAAAATTGATTGTCGTGAAATTCGTTTAGACTTGTTAAGACTTAAATTGGTTGGAGGGGGAACATATTGTTTCTTAAAATGAAATGACGCAACTATTTTTCATTAGACGATGCATCGCCATCACTAGTTGGCATAATAACCGTGTAGTTGTGATAGTTTGTGAAAAGGAAAAGAAACGAAGAGTCGACTTGAAATTAAGTTGATAAATGATGAATTTTTTTCGTTCAACAGGAAAGGGCCGAGGATTGAAGCTCCAACAGCTGATCGATATGTCGGCGCAAATAGCCGCAGGTATGGCTTACCTCGAGTCCCAAAACTACATTCATCGAGACTTGGCTGCCCGCAACGTTCTAGTCGCGGATGGTAACGTCGTGAAGATTGCGGATTTCGGCTTGGCCAGGCTTATCAAGGAGGACGAGTACGAGGCCCGGATCGGGGCGCGTTTCCCCATTAAATGGACGGCTCCGGAGGCCGCTAACTACAGCAAATTCAGTATCAAATCCGACGTATGGTCCTTTGGCATCCTGCTTACGGAACTCGTTACTTATGGCCGAATACCATACCCTGGTGAGTGGCTGTCCATTGTGATTCATTCGATTTTCTTTTTCCATTACAATTATACGATTAGCCGTGCCGTATTCGAGTATTCTTGTCGCAATGATGTTCATGCCGAGTACCAGTATTATTACTTCATATCATAAGGATCAAAATTTATGATTGATTGTGCCTTTGTGTGCGGTCTGAACTAACATGAATATTTATGTCGGAATACGTAATTAGAAATAAAATATTGTTATTATAGAAATAAAATATGTTTATTATCTGTTGCAAAAGTTCACTATTCCAATCTTATTAGCATGAAATTATTTCAAGTCGCGATGTTTTTGTCGATGTTGGATAAGCTTGGAATAATTTTGCTTTATAAATTCACTAATTATAATGTGCTATAAAGGACGATTGAAAATAATTTTCAGGTATGACAAATGCCGAGGTGCTGCACCAGGTCGATCATGGCTACCGCATGCCCTGTCCACCAGGTTGTCCACCTCCGTTGTACGATATAATGCTCGAATGCTGGAACAAAGATCCCATGAAAAGGCCTACTTTCGAGACCCTTCAATGGAAACTCGAAGATTTTTTTACCATGGAGGGTTCTGAGTATAAGGACGCATCGGCTTACTGAGTAATAGCCAGTGCGAAATTTCGCAACATTGACCAGCGTTTTATGTAATTGCTGAAAACTAAAAGGATAAATCACTTTGGTTGACGAAAAGAAGCCAATGAGCACCGACGCTAGATATAAATGGTGAATGCATGAAGGAAGGAACTATATGCACGCTTTTATAGATCGTAGAGGAGGAGAGTTTAAGGATCTGGAGGGGAATTGGCGTCGATTTTGTTTTATATCGGTACTGCCAAGTTTGTGATATTTAAAAAGAAAGACTACCATGAGATCTATAAATGTGGATCTAGTGATCGTTGCAAAGTGCAGGCGCGGTACTGTTCATTTTATTTTAATATTTTCATTTATTTTTTATTAATCATACTTTTAATATTATTGTTATTATTCGTTTGTTTATTCTGGCTGCCATATACAAGATTATGAGAAAAAACGTTAAGTATTGTCGGATACGTTGTGATCCGTCACAAATGCCGATAGTTGATAATTTTTAAAAAGTAAAAAAGCTTTTTGGTGTCTAATCGTCTTAATATGCATAATACGTAATTTTAAGATTAACTTCTAACTGCCTCTCTAGCAGACAGTAGAAGTCTGTATATTGTATATTATACAGGGGCCACGAGCAAAACTATCGCAGGAAAAAGAAAGAGTATTCGAAAGATATATATATATATATATATATATATATATATATTGTTGAACTTTCTTTTTTTTTCTTTTTTCTTTTCTTTTTTTTCTTCCCTTTTCGTTATTTTTTATATTGTCTACGCGCGCGCGCGCGCACACACACACACACACACAAAATGACATTATTATAATCGTGTGTTTTAATTTAAGATTTTGACTATAAAATTAAAAGCAAATTAGTTATCGATCATTTTATTTTGAATAAAAAACGATTTAACTCTCATTGTCATTTAAAAATGTTTCGTAAGAATAAAGAAGAATTTTTAAATAATAGAAGTAGAAAAGTATATATCTTTAAAATTTCCGAAGAAAAATATTTTTCACAATAGTTTCGCTCTCGGTATACTGTTGTCTATCCTAAGCCGTGATTCAACTGTTTACGAATATAAGAATATTAAGTCTAGGTCGAGCGTTATATGCTTATATGGAAACGTCAAACTCGATACTTTCATTACTGTAATGAAGAAAAATACAGATAGTTTTGTCCCCACAAGTACTTGAAAACGCTTTTAATACAACTATTTCTCATTAATTTCGTGTGATTGAATTGTAACTTGAACTTTTTTTTTATTTACACTCGTTAAATATCTTCCATTACATTGCCGAAAAAATTCATTTAGAAATTTTTTTCAATCTCAAAGTACAAAAGTATTATATATAAGAGAGAGAGAGAGAGAGAGAGAGAGAGAGAGAGAGAGAGAGAGGAAAAAGAAAGAAAAAAATGTATGTGTATTTTTTAATACAATGGAATATTATTCATGAAGCTACGAAGCTCAGAATATAGAAATTTAGTAGCTTATGAGAATGTATATAAATATAAATTTTTTGTAGATAAATTAATTTGTTTGGATTTTTAAAGGGAAAATTCCTAGCACAATAATCGGCGAATATATTATGATTAATGATTATTCGGATATATTCATTTAAATTGCTCAACATTGAGAAAAATAAATATTCACGCGTGGTTTTTGTTTCTCTTTATCATTTAAGTTATTTGATTGTGTGGGTGCTCGATTTATACTTAATAAATCTATGTTCACCAATTCATCGTAGAAATTGTACAGTTGTTGAAAACTTCACAAAGGCAAAGAAATATAATAAGATTGCCAAGTCTTGTTCGGCATAGTTAATCCTGCAATCTACTCCAACAAGCGCACTCGTAATTGTCAATGTGTAATTATAATAATGTTGAAATGGTCTTAGACACTCGTGGGCTGGTTACTATGTATTTACTGAGCCAGTATGTGCTTTATACCACTTGTCTTATTCCGATGGTATGGTGTCTGTGTAAGTTGCTCCATCGTAGCGTAGAATGAAAGCATATTCGGGTTCACCAAATGATCATTGAAAAGCACATTCTTTTCGAGCGTCGGACATGTGATTGGGCAAAATCATTAAACTTAAACGCCTATATATTTATAGAATTACACGTCATTTGATTTTTTTTTGTTTTTTTTTTGTTTTTTTTTTTGTTTTTGTTTTGGAATCGCTTACACGGTATATTTCGATCCTGCAATCATAGAGGATTTGAAAAATTATCTCCATATGTGTGCTAACGTACACGTATAATAAGAAAATAATGTGTTTATGGTGTTTATTACCTTTACATATCTGTACAAATATACATACACATAGCTACGTGAAATGTGTTTTGAAGGTAAGGAATTCTTTTATTTAGTAAAACAAGATTTGAATGGTCCGTTAAAAAACAATATAACGACGAGGACTAAAATATATATATAAAAAAAGAAAGAAAAAAAAATAACAGAGACCATTAAAATTTTGTTTCAAATTTATTTCCAATCGCTAGATTTTCATTGCCATCCCTTGAAAAATGAGTCTTTATAACTATATTTATAAATCTCAATCTTATCTAGGCATTAAAGAATTATAAGAGACAAATAGTCATTAATGATGTTAATCGAAAAGTCCTTTAAAGGTTCTTCATTTTAATCATGTATAATTCGTAGGGCGTGTCGATTAAAGCTGGAGTTTGCTTACCGTACGATTGTAAGAACAATTTTAGCTATTATACTTTCACTACGCGACACGAATTCGATATTGTTTATTTTCTATTTTATTTTATATTGGAATTTGTGCATAATTATAATGCATAAATATTATACCGTGTTATAAGGGTAAAAAGAAAAAAATAAGGAAAAAAAGAGAGAGAGAGAGAGAAAAAGAAGAAGAAGAAGAAGAAGAAGAAAAAATGTGGCTAAAAAGACATTGCAATTTTTATGGAACATTGTATTTGTAATTTTATTGTAATCTCTGTAATTATATTTATACGAAAATTTGATACTGCGAATCTAATGCGAATTCAAATTAAATCGAAAATATAAACGATTTTTCTTATTTATTTGCCAAAATATTATTTTATAAAGTGAAAATTGCATCTTCTACTATTATGTGTTATTGAATGAGATTATATCGAAAAATGAAGCAATCCACGACATGAAGAGATAATGAAAATACAAATTGATTTTCAACGTCAAGTAATATACCAAATCGTGTTGAACATTTCGCCTTGTTTCACGAATGAAGGATAAATGAGAAGGATAAATGAAGAAGCATCAACGAAGAAGACAGGGTGCTTATGGGTTTCAGGGACCATCCTGTTACGAATGGTTCGTTTAATCGGAGCAAGATGAAACGTCAATTTACTGAATAATGTCATACAAATTGTAATTTTAATTTCAACCGTATAAAATAGATTACTGTTTTATTACATTGTGCTTTGTTGTTGTTATTATATCATTTTCTAGTTAAATAAATGCTCACGTAAGTAGGCATCGGTGATAGATCTTTGCAACTTCTTCAACGTCAATAATTTTCGAGCTTGCTTTAGCATTTCTTACGTTTCACATTTATATTCACTAAGGCATTCGATAATTTTAATAATTGTATTAAATAATGTGCCGATTGGTGCTGGACTCGACTCTACTCACGATTTCACGATTGTCTGATGAAACCGGATTTCGACAAGATAAAATCTAACGACATACAAGTATAAGAAAAAAAAAAAATGAAAGAAAAAAATATGTTGATATTACTAAATCATTAAATAAGTTAAAACGCTTCATTATGGTATGACAATCGAATAATGATAAAAATTTATAATTGTATATTAATTACTTTTATAGTTAAAAATAATAATACAGAAAATATTCAACTTTCGGGACAACTAAGAAACGATTTAACATTCCTTGATTTCATAAAAAAAATTGAATATTAATGATATTAATTTGTAATATGATTTAGATGATAATAAATTAATATATTACGATATATGTTTTCTCAAAAACGGGGAATGACTCGAATTTTTGGATAAATTATGTTTTTACGTTCTTATCAATTAAATTTGTATTTCAAGTTTTTGATCGAATAACAAAATATTGATACTATTTTATATAATTACGCGAGCGCGTACGTACCTACGCACGTACAAACAAACACACACACACACACACACACAACCCGTAGATATATATATATATATATATATATATATATATATATATATATATATATATATTTAATATTTATTTCTCTATAGTTTTTGATACATCGATATATCTATTTAATATGCATTTCACATAATGACGTATCAACATGTGTATATATTTTTTATGAATTTTTATTCATCGACGTAGTCATTTATGAATCTTAGATAAATTATATAAATTTCTAGAATTTCAGAAATTATTATTTATTGAACCGACTAAGATTGTTTACGATCGATGGCATCGACATAATATAAATTACATTTTATTATTTTATGTACTATTTGTAATTTTAGAATTTATCTAATATAGATGAAATTTTATTTATAATTTTTTAATAATATAAAAGAAATATTTTAATAAAAATTGAAAAAAAGAAAAAATTATTAAAAACAATATTTCTGAAAATCCACTGTCATTTATTACAAATAGAACAGCAATAGAACAAATAGAAATACCAATAGTAATATAATGTCGTTCAACTAATATAAAAATCTCTGAGGAATAGAATAAATCTAAATCTATCAAATTATATCGGTTTTTTTTGTTAATATGAGATATATTATGCTTTAATGTGATTTTTAAATGATATAAAAATCAATTACTCACTGTCGCAGTACAAATTTTCTAACGGAAAATAAATGTAAAAATGTGACGTGATACTGGGATATCAGAAACTATTGAAATATTTTATATTACGGGCACTTTTTGCAAATTAATCTATCTGTACATGAAATATCGATTAGTTTAACGGGCGGGCGGGGGGGGGGGATTTATAAAAATAATTTTTAATAGCACGAAAGAATGATTGATTTTCATTAAATTAAACATGAGATTCAATTTTGAACGAAACAATTACATTCTTATCCCTCGATAGTTTCACATCAATACAATAAAATGAA